TTGTATTGATGCGTAGGGTTCTGTTTCTTGGACAAGCAGCTTTTGAGTTAAACTTCGTATTAAATTTAAATGAATTGGGATCTCCTGGTGCTATACAGTCATCAATGTAAATGCCCTCTTATGGTATTCATTTTACCTAGATAAAGGGTACAGTCATAAAACTTTGTTTATATCCATACTTTTTTAGTCGTTGGGTAAAATCTTTATTAAATCCATATAAAGCCACATTAATGTTTAAAATACATTTTCTACTTTTTTTAAGGTGTTCTTTTATTAAGGTCTCTGTTTTTATTAAGTATGTCCTCTTCAAGGTATAACCCTTAAGGAATGTGTACATAAATAGTTTATTAAGTTTGATATGTAAAAATGCGGTTGGGATGTCTACTAGTTATAATGGCACTCCCTTAAAGTTATCGCCGTTTGTTAAAAACCTCTTGCAGTTAAAAGAGCCTTACATAGATTTCCTTTTTAATGCGCGTCCTCTATGTGGTGGTTACAATTATTTAATCATTAGGAATTTATAACAAGGTTTGATCTTTCGTTTTCTGTGAATAAAGGGAAAACTTTATATCTTAATTTTAGCTACATTCCAGTACTCAGGAAAAACCTCAAGTTTAAATGAAGCATTGGAACTCAGTTAGATGCGTTAACCAAGGACATTTTAGTAGCTTTAACGCTTTAAAAGATATATTATCCACCCGCACCGCCTCCCTACGGTTAGGGTTAGACTCGACATCTTCAATCTCAGCTGCGGATGCCGGCAGTGTAAATCTGTTGCTTTTTTTATCTAAGTAGTCATTTACACAGCTCTCCTTCCTTTCATCCTCCTCTTCAATTATAAAAGTTTATACTTTCTTATTTTATATTTACCAAAAGCATTCGCGTTTCCTAAATTATTGTGCATTAATTTATTTCTGCTAGTGATTGCTAATATTATAAAATTTCTGTTTAAAATATATTATAAAGATTTTAACAATAATGAGACTTAATTTTATTTTCAAAATTTTGTTATGATGTTTCTCTAAACCCTTTATTGACCCCTTGCTAAGTTCAATTAGAGTAACTCTGCTCCGAAGCTCTAGAGTTTTTATACTTCCTCTTTTGCTTACTCCTCATCTCGATTAGTACGCGCGGATCAGAGGAAATATTAGTATCTCGAGGTTGGTAGTCATCCTCTGAGGAATTCAAGACCATTGATGTTCTTTCAAATTTACATATGCTGTTATCTAGCTCTTTACAACTTGATATCCTGTTAACGTCCACTACACTTGATTGGCTATATAATAAAACAGGTCCTGTCAGTTTTGAATAGTTTCTGGGTGCCTGTGCAACTGTCACTAGTTTGGCTTTCCCGCAGGAAAATATGGAGGGAGTGACTCCCCATTAGCTCCGGGGTTGTCGTCTTTTAGGTAGTAGTATCGTTCACGGTGAAAAGTACGTTTTTAATCAAGATGGTTTCTTCTGTCGTTCAGTATGCGCAATAATTTTCAACACTACCTTATGACAGTTCTTTGTGTGAGTTTCACATATTAATGCAATATCAATATCTCCTCGTAATTTTTTCCCGAAACTATTTTTAGTAGAGGATTTTTAAAAGTCATATGATTTAATAACGCTGAGCAATTTCTTGTTTAACTAAAGGAGAGAAGAATCTTATAAACTTTAACTTAAGAGTTGTTTTATAGACTAAAATAAAATATATCTGCCCGTCTTTAAAAATTTTCACACTAATTCCCCAGTTCTTTTAAAAAAAATAATTATCTTGTTACTAGTTGTAAAAATTGGTGTAGCTAATATGCTTACTGGGTTCACGTCTCTAGAAAAATGAATTTTTAAATTTATTTCCTCCTGAAAACTTAACTCATTATCTTTTGTATTACGCAACAACTTGCACATCTACTTATTTAGACGTAATATTACTTTGAGTGCTCTAACTTTGATTGCTAACGTTCTATTAAGTATGAATCGGATATACCCCTTCCACAAGAAGTTTAGCTGGCAGTTTAAACACTCATACAGTTATACAAAGCCTTCAACGAACGGTACAGATTTTGTTATTTTATAGATGACACATTCTAATAAAACTTATTTGACATAAACTTTTTTTTTACTTTTAAAAAAGATTAGTGCGGAAAGTAAGTTCCTCTTTTAACCACCACTGTTTGTTTAGAATATTTCACCACGAGCAATCGTTTTGTTTCAGGAATTTAACAAATATTTATCACAAATTTATAAAGAAAAATTAACGACCTTAGGTTGATTAGTCAATACTATATATACTCATCAAGAAAATAAAAAAGATTACTAAAATAAAATTTTCTATTCTATTAAAAGCACTGTAAAAGGGAGCATACTTTCTAACCGCTTTTAAACTAATAATGCCCTAAGCAATTAATATTCCAAACACTAATCCATAGTTAAGCGGCCTAAAAGATTACAATCTGATTAACTATTCAGGGTTAGTCGATATTTTAAAAAGTTTGCGGGGAGTTTCACATTCCGCTTCCAGAACTGAGTTCCACTGGCCAACCGTTGGCGACTCCGAATTATCGCGTAAACTGCAGGTGTCATCCATCCTTTCTATGAAATCTACTTGTGTTTTTTCTAGCAGAAAAGAGTTTTCGGGAGATGACGTAGATTCGCTTTCGTTCACTGGTGGAATAATACTGGTTGTCGGGCTGCCTTGCTGGCTGGCTGGTTGAGCAACAATTCTACTCGAACTAAAATTCATATTTTCATTTGCATGTTGTGGAGTAGTTGTTGTCTCTTTCGTGTTATTATCATTCGCCATAATCTCAACGGGCGTCTCGGTCGCGCTATCTATAGCTTCAGTCCAAGTTAGAGGGGAGAAACTCGAGAGAGGGAAAGAATTATTACAACTATCCACTTCTGAAGGGAAAGAGATGAGGCTCCCCTTGGTTTTTTCACTTGCAAGGGCTAAAAAAGTGAGTGCGTCTTCTTCCTTTTTAATTTCCAAATCACTCTGTAAAGTTTGGCCAGAACTTTCCAAGCATGGCTTAATCCATTTACGTTGATCCCCAAGAGAAGTAGCCTATCAATAAGTAACTTTCTAAAAATAAATAGATCTACGAAATAATATTTTTTACCTTGGCTAAGTGTTCGGTACGCACCCATTTAAAAATTTTACAGTGTCCCCAATCAACCCATTTTTTCTCCCTACACAAGTAAAAATAATATATTAATACATAAGAAAAATTGTACTAAAAAAAGCAAGAGATTGATAAGCTAATAAGGCTGTAAAGGTAAGTAATAACTAATTCAATAAAAAAATAATACCAAGATTTCAGTTGTTCAGCAGCTTTTTCTGGTCGATTCAAAGAAGAAAAAGAATGCCTACGGGTTTCCGTTCTAATTAATGGTTTAGAGGTCGCCATACTTAAAGTAATACTTTTCCGAGAAGACTAGTACTTTTAATATTAAAATAAAGGGTAAAGATTACAAATCAAGAAAAGGTCAAAATACTGTTTATATCTCCTATGTATCCTAAATACATTCATAAGAACTTTTACTAATCTCAAATAAAGCACATTAAACTAAAGCTAACCTTAACAACAAGAACACACTCAAGAGAGACCGAAGCCAAGAGGTAGCCTTTCCGGTCTTAACTTGCATATTTCTGGTGTTTGTAATAATTATTTAAGCAATTTCGCCCTTCCTTATTGATCCACTTACTAATTTTAATTTTGGCAATATGTGGCTGGTTGCTTGAAAGCTCACAATACATGCACCAGCAATGGTCTTCCCCTAATAGATAGTATAACGAGTTAGGGCCAATAATAGTTGGGAATGAGGGCGAGACTATGACGTTAAATTTAGTTTAACATTATTGCGAACATCTCTCTGACTTTCAGCTTAACTAATCAAATACTTACCACGGTGGAACTTAGTAAAGTAATTTTCATATCTAACACTAGGGATCTAGTCGTTTTATTAAAGATTATCGCCCAATAAGCTTGTTGTCCTGTCTTTGAAAAGAGCCAGAAGCGGTTATACTTTATAGGTTACACAAATTTGTGGACGGTATGTGCGTCTTGCCTAATTTCAATTTGGTTTTCGAAAATTTACTTAATTGACTAGATACTCATGCTTACAATGGAAGCTACAAAATTTTTTAACAATAGATAAGTAACAGGTATAGTCTTTTTAATATTGAGAAGGCTTTTTAAAATTATGGCACGATGATCATCTAAAAAAACGCTAGCTTCCCTTTTTACTTAACTGCGGTGATACACTCATACCCTACTGCTAGAGGTAGTTCGTTGAAGTCCGCTACTAGACAATTAAATATGGTTTCCCACAAAGCTCCTTACTGCCCTCTTTACTTTTTTTCTCTCTTCATGTTCGATATGCCACAACCGTTAAAAATAAAGTTAGCCCAGTACGCTGATGAACCCAGCCTCATATTATAGTTCCAAATCTGCCTGGCTGGCGGTTAAAAGCATACAGTTTTATTTGACAGTACTCGAGGTATAGTGTTTAACATGGAGGTTAATTATTAATTAGTCGAGAATTAGCTTTATGGTTATAACAAAGTTTAAGATTTCGGGGTTATGCTTGTCGACAGAACTTAAACTGCGTTTGCATTATTCGCTGCTTTCGCAGATATCTTTACCTCGTCTTTTCCATTTGTGCACTTAACCTGTTGCGAATGCAACTATTACAATTTTTTTACCATCGCGTGAGTCAATTTTTATTAGACCTCCAGCTCGGCTTCTTTTAATTTCTTTGAAAACCTTTTAAACTACGTTTTCAAATGTTGGTTCTTAGCTTTGAAACTTCTTCTTAGCAACGTTTTTAGCCTACATTGTTTTAAATTCTGCTAATGAAAGTAAGTAATTCTTCCTCTATTCGTCTTACAACTAGTTATGTTCCAAATTTAATATTAAGTTTTGTTGCTCTTCCTTTTCTTTTGATATCTTCATCTGCTATATATGTTTCTTTCCTTTTTTTGTCTAAGTCAGAAAAATTCGTTAGTTATAAAGCATCGTCAGTAACAAGAATTCCTTCAAACAGTTTTTCTTCGCGCAAAAAAAGTAACAGCCCTTTGTTTAAACTCGCAGATCTTAGCGATTATTTCTTATTATTTTATTCTCTGAAAGATCTGAAATAATAGGAATTGCTTCTTTGAAACTTCTCGGTAGTTCTATATTTGTAATCCCCTAAGAAGGCCGCTTTTACAGGTAGTGATTGAAAAAAAACCGTGTAATCTATTTACTCAGGGTAAAAATAAATATAAACAAGTTTATTACACTAATATAACTAACTCTTCCTTTACAAGGACAATATTAGAGGGGAAAAAAAATCTCCGACGAGGATTTGCTATCCGTTTACACTTATGCTTTATTATATTAATTACTGAATGCAAATGTGAGGACTTGACATCTTTGTATAGAACATAAAGGAAATTATATAAGTAAAGGAACTGATAGCTGTTTATATTTTCCCTATCATTTCGAGATTGTTCGGGACCCTTTTTATTTGCCCATTTAAGATGGACCTCTACCTTTTGACGTATTGAATAGTGTAACAGCTTATACCCCAGCATACCGTTTAATAAACTTTTCTTTCGCTTAGTACATAAATTTGTACACGTACACGAGGTACATGCCCCTGGCTTGGCGTTCAACCTCTTCAGTTCCTGTTATAACTACTGAACTGCTTTAATTATAATATAGATTTAAAAGAAAACCCTCAGTAAACACAACCATTTGAAACCGACTGAAAACTTCCTCGTTTAATTTTTAATATTTGGGAACAGATGGTTGTAAGTTTTTAGTAAATATACTTCCTAAGTATATAACCTTTTTTCTCTCCTCGGCAAGATAAAGAAGTTTACAGGAGCTAAAGCGGCCAGGCGGGGTTATTAAGCGTTAGTCCCTTATGCGCTATTACTGTTAATATTCCATAATACTTTAATACTTTATTATTTAAACTCAATTAATATAGTAACGCTGGCCAATGCAGCTCCCTTAATTAAAAAATAGTCTTAACTCAAAATCCCAGTTGATTTTGCTTAAAATACAAAGCAGAACTCTTCAGCGTGGCTGTAGCCAAAGGAAAACTATTCTAACTAGCAACGGTGTTACATTCGCAAAAGAAAAGGATATTAGTTAAGTTTATTAATAAATAAATCTTCCTTATAACTTTAGTTGTATTTTATAAACTATTAAGTTATCCATGAATTATCAAGTTAAATCTGTATTTACTGCAACCATCACATACTTCCGTGGAGTATACAAGTTTTAATAATTTATTATAAAGTTTTTCTCTTTAAAGCAGCAGTCGTGTCCGGCTCAGTTTCACATAGTTTATCAATATTTGTTTCTATCTTACTGGTTCCTCCATTATATTTGTTTAAACCAAAAACATACAGACCTCTAGTTTTAAATTTGCTATGTTTCTGTAAAAATTCCAACTGCTCTTCTTTAATCTTTAAAAGTGTCTGTTTTTTTTCTTCTAGAAGGGTGGCGGCTTTACGTTTTTCGATCTCTGCAGCTTCAATTTGTTCAGGAGTTAAAACAGTTATCTTTTTAACTATGTGGCACTGAGCTATAACAAAGTTTAAAGAAGATTGCTACATAGTAAATATATTAGTAAAAAAAAAATAAAAATGCAATTATTATGAATACAAAAGCATCGTCTAAATAAGACTCCAAGCTATCATCACAACCTTTAACGTAAAGCCCTGGATCAAAGGTGTTAAAAATACAATAAAAATAAAATAAAATAAGGATTCAGGTACAAAAAAGTAGTACCCTTTATAAAGAGGAAAGGAGAAGTTTTACGTCCAGTTATTTGGTATATTTCTTGTCTTATTTGATGTTCTTTATCTTTTACTGTTTATTTTGTTAGAGTAGTATATTAAATAAAGCAAGAATAAAGCGATAGCTACTATTTTGAAAGAATAAGATAAGAATACTACAGTCTGGTAAGTTTATAATTTGTGGAGCGAAACCAATTTTCTTAAGGTAATGCTTTGCTTTCCCACCAAAAGGACAGCCAATAACAGTAAAAAGCTTTTAAGTGGAAACAATTAATAAAGGATGGATAATAATAATACGCTAAAACATAAAATAAGGATAACATAACAAAACTTTACTAGGACGCTGTGCTTTTTCGCTACGATTTAAGTAAGTTGCTTCCATCCATTTAGCTACTTCAAAAATAGCAGTCTATATCTTCTTTAAAGACGCTAAAGCTAATACCAGCATAGAAAAACCGTTGATAAACTGTTAAAGCGTTATAGTGAATTCTTGGTAGAAGAAAAAAATTTACGCCTACCTCCTGGGTAATCCCCCTTCGCACCCACAGCGACTTATAAAACGTCTCATCAGCTATATGGGTGGTATTAAGCCAAGCAGACTAGTGAAGGCTATTATATTTAATTTTAGATATAGTGCAGCAGTCTTTTAATAAGCTTGACTGGGTTCAAATTTTGAGGTTATTATATTATATATATTGTTATTACTAAACATTTTATAGCTCCTAAAGAAATATTGAGGCACATGCAAGTCTGCATTTTTTTAAAGTATGCCTATAAGAAAACCACTTAAGAGTATTTTTATATTTTGACAAAAATCGTTCACAACTTATTGTAGATATTATATTAAGAATGTCAAATGATGGTAGTCACTATCCTATTGTTCTTTTAGAAAAGTTTAGTGGAATTATGAGTCTCCACTTATATATAATAACTTTAAAATAGAGCAGAAGAGGAAGATGTGAATTACAGTCATGTCTAAAAAGCAGCAAACCCTTAATTGATATTCCCCTTGTTGCATTCCTGCCAACAAATACCCTTTTAAAAAAATATAATCCTAAGAGTAAAAGTATAGCGATAAGGTGTGTGTTTAAATATGTTTATCAGAGCAGTGACATTAAAAATGCCTTTTTTATAGCATGGAAGCACTAATTCAATTAGTGGGTTTGTGTTCCCCTTATAAAGCGCTTTTTATTGTTCTTTAACATTGAGCAGTCGCTTTTGTAACGTTCTTGGTTAGTCCTTGTTTACGTTACAGGTTCGTTAAAAACCAGCTAGTCATTACTAAATTGCGAGTATTTTACCAAGCCGTCCCTTTCTCTGTACAAAAAATTTAAAAACGGGTCTAGCTATATAAAAAAAATTTGCAGTTCTTAAAGCGTCACAACAAACTTTACTAGTGTGTACTCAACCCTTAGGGCGGATAATTTCTTTATGAGAAAGGCACACGGCTAAGCTAGGGCATACTACCAAGAGACGTCTACCTCTTTCATTGATTTGCAGGCATGCAACAGAGACTTTCACGGGTGCATATTTATTTTGTGACTACAAAATATTTGTCAATTGCCATAACTGGCGGTATACACATCGTAAAATGGCCGGTGTAACTATGAAGTTAACAATAATCTTATTTGTTGATAGCCGTGGATAGTTATTTAAAAATTTTATTTAACTTAGTTATCATAACTGGATTTATATATAATTTTTTTAATATTGAAAACTTTGTAAAATTTTCTTATAAACTCAAACAATAACAGTTTATTTAGTTAAAGGAACTTAAAAGCTGTATACTTTAATTTTTTTATTAAACTTAGATGACATGATAAATAGTCGTATAACCGACTAATGTTAGTATTAACAACTCAAATTAAAAACAATTTACTGAGGCTAAAGTCTAAGTTACCTTAAACGTAAATAAATACGGTATATTTTTAGAAGTTCTCTGCCTTAAACACAATATGCCTTTTTTAATTTTATTAAGACTACATATCCGAAATTGAAAGGACAACAAAGTAAGGTGGTAAAATAACTAAAAAATTATAATTACGAATATAAAGCTATAGCTGTTTTCAAAGACTTTATAAAGTGGTTAAACCGTTTAGTATTAAAATTGTTTCTACGAAGTGGAGCACAGATTCTTTATAGTTATATTTTTACAATAATAGAAGTTTTCTGTAACCTTAATGTAGACGCAACTTGCCCATTTACACGATGCTATAGATATCTGCTGGAAAGTTTCAACTGGCGCCCAGTTGGGTGTAGAGGATGTTAAGTGCAAGAGGTTTGCTCAAGGTAAACAAATAGTAACTGTGTATGCTACTTTTACTATTTACAATATAAACTTTAAGTTAAAAGTTTATTTAGTTCTACATATTTAAAAAAAAAGGAATTTCTTACTGCTGCTCTTGCAATTATAAAAACACCACTTTTTTTATCTAATAAACTATATTCCTGTGTCTTAAAGCCAATTTTTGGTAAGTTTTTACACTTTAGGTAATAAATACTCGTTTTAAAAAGTATAATATATATTACACTTTATGTTTATTATTTAAATAAAATATTATAAAAGATAGAATTAATTACGTATGTGTAGTACTATATATATATTTTTTTTTATTTAATGCTTCTTTTTAGATTCTTTGTACTTTATTCCTGGCACTCAACTCGAACAACTCGAAGCCAGTCAGCGTTTTAAAAAGGAATACGAAAATTCTTACGGCCCTTTGCACTTAAATATCTTCAACGGAACGTTTAATGGAGTAATTTGTATAATATATTAAGTTTTATACAAAGTCTCTTTTAAATAAAAATTTAGTAAGTTTTTATATTCTTCACATACTAATGAATATATACAGGTGGCCATGGTTTTTTGCCTTTATTTGCATAATTATATTATGTAACTAGTCATTTATTTTGTTAAGGTGTAATTAGATAAAAACTTATCCTTTAAGTACCCTTTAATTATATAATTACTTTAGAAATTTTTGAAAATAGGCCTGCTCTGCTGCACAAACGGAACTGAAGCCTTTACTTGTGTACCTTGAATCTTCGGAACACGACGATGCTGCTGTCTTTAACCAAAAAATTTTGTGTGATTCAGCGCTAATCCAGTTATTAAACGACAAGTTTATAGTCTGGGCGGCTTCCTCAAGCACTTTTGAGGGTTCAAAAGGTAAAACAGTAAAAGTTAAGTTGTTTAGTTTTGACCTTTTTTTTGCTTTAAAATTTTCAGTATCGTTTATTATATTTATTAATATATATTTTTTGTAGTAATTAATTTTTTTTATTGTATTCGTTTATTACAAACAAGTCTTTCACTTGTTACATATAATAAACGAAATAGATTCTTGTTCAATTTATAAAGTTTAATTTTAAACATTAAAAAGAATATCGTACCGAATTGTTTTTTTTAGACTTAATTTTGCGTTTTGCTACGGATAATTATAATTTAAAAATTTGACTGTTTATCTTTATAGTTCGATTTTAGGTTTGCCTACTCTAACACTAATAGTTTCTAAAAATATATATTTATATCTTTTTATTTAATATCATTAATTTAAAAGAAATTAGATTCTTATTATTTTATACTCTTTTTACTGAATTAATAGTTTCCGACAAGCTACATGTTGCTGGCTTCCCGTTCGTTGGTGTATATACCTTCGTCCATAATCGGCTTAATTCTCTACTAAAACTGGAAAGTAAATGTTTAGTGTTTCATATACACATTTTAATGTTTGGCATGTTTGCCAGTAATCTTAACAGATGTTTACATTAATAAAAGAGTTTAAAGTTTTTTTTATTTTTTAATAACACTAATAAGGATTGTATTCGCTTGACTTGACCTTAAAAAAAATACGCGCTGCTGGTAAAGCGGCGGAGGCGAGTCTTTTTCAAATTAAGAAAGAACGGTTAGTGTTTATTTGATTCGATTATAAAAAAAAATTAAGCGGAAGTGTGTTGTTTTAGAGAAGCGCAGTTGGCCACGCAGAGACTCAAACAGGAGCAGGACCGAGCTTTCTTCGAGTCTCTCCGCATTGATCAACAAAAAGTGCGTCTTTTCGCGTTACAAACGGGAGGAACTTCGTGTTATTCTTTTACTAATAAAAAGGAGCAACAAAAGAAAAGGGAAGAAGAAAAATCGAAAGTAAAGGAGGAGGAGCTCTTTAGAGAAAACAACGTAAATTATAAGAGAATAAATTGTAGCATAATTATTGACTCTGCCACTAAATTTTCAAATTTTTTTTTAAAGCACTTGTACGAGTTTACTTCACTTTTATCTTTTTTCGATTATAATTTTGAAGCTGCTAGCCCAAGCACGCACAAGGAATTTAATAAAGTTACCGGAAGAACCGGAGCAACACACGCCAGGGGCCATCGAACTTCGGATTCACTTCCCAAACGGCTCCAGTAGCAGTCGAAGATTTAATGAATCTGACAAAATTTTGGTTTTTTAAACTTTTTAACTTCTTTAACTCATTTAATAAATTATAAAAATAATATATTTTTATGAAAATTACAAAACTCAAAGTAATAATTCAATAAATTCTATAAACAATTTGTTTATGTAGAGTTGAGATGGCTTTGTGTATAGATTCTCTCACTAAACTCTTCGACGTTTTAGTTTACTTCAGTTTAATATTCCTAAAAATTCTTTTTAATAAACTTTAAATATATTTATTATACTCTAAATTTACTAATCTTCCGTTTTTTTCTTTCTTTAAGCACGTATACCACTTTGCTGCTGGTGAACTCATTGAAGATGGAAAATGCCTTATTAAGAACTTTTCTTTATGGTCACTTCTATTAGTTTAAATGTTTTATAAAATACCCATTTAGTTCATTATTTTTTTAATTTTTTTCTTAATTAATGCTTTTTCTAATTTACTTTACTTATTTGTTATACAACAGCTCCAGTTTTCCAAAGAAAACTTTTGAGGACAAAAGCCAAACCCTTAAGGAAGTTGGCTTTACGCCCAGGATGTCCTTGTACCTTATAAATGAGGACGATTAATAAAGTTAATAAACTTTATAACTTTCTTTATCCTAACTTTTGAGTCTTATACAAAATTTAAACAGATTTAAGTTTAAAGCTAAATTTTTTTAAGCGATTCCGAACGGGGATAGAAATTTTATAAGTTGTGGTACAAAACGGAACTAAAAAAAAATTTAAATTAAATTATGACGGAGCCTCACAATAGGTAGAAAATAGCAAAGGCAACTAAAATAATAGTGTACTAACAAAATTACAAAATTTAAATCTTTTTCTACAATTACTAAGAAAATGGCGCCAGCCCTCCTTGTTACAATCAAAAAATTTTCATATAATCCTTTGAATCTACTAAACAGTTTTAAAAAAAACTAAGAAATAAGTTTACCGCGCTTACAATAGAGATTTTATTATAATATACCCGTTTATAGATTACCGTTAACATCAAATTAATTATATTTTATAATCGATAAAAAGGCACTTTTATAAGTAAAAGTTAAGTTTGTTTCGCTCGAAGTTCGACAACTTATTATAATCAAGCCACATTTTAAACTTCAACTCCAGATTTTCAAATCTCAACTTTACTTTGCCAGCTCAAGATGTATTCTCCTTTTTGGTTGATATTATCGCTAGTCTTTCTAATAAAATAAAGTAAAAATTCAAAACTAAAACTATAATATTGAATTCCATATGGTTCAATGAATAAAAGCTTGTGTATTAAATTTAAAAAATATAAATGTACTTATTAAAGTTATATGAAAACATCTTTTTTAATAGTATACTCTACAAAATCTAATATTAAACTTATAGCAGGGGATATACTTTGGTAAAAACAAATAAAATATGATTTTACGGTGCTGAGCTCTTTAACCATTTGTAAATAATTAAATATATTTATAATTAACAAAGGCAAGCAGACTTGATCTCCATTTCAAAAAAAATTATTAACGCTAATAAATAAAGAATAAAATAAAAAGCTGCAGCCAAAACCCTGAAAAAGAAAGCGTGCTTTCAGACCCCTTTTTACTACGAAAGGGAACAATAAAAACAAGTGGCTACTATGAATAACCCTCACAACTCATAAGCAACAAAGACAGCGGTACATAGTAAGCCGACCCATCTAAAGTGAAAGATTGTTTACAAGGGCCAACAGGTATTATGGGAATGCCCTGTTAATACAACTGCAGTTTGGAAAATAAGAGGAGAAAAGAGACTCTACGAGATTGACCTTTAAATAGTTTTTTTTTACCTTCCAAACTAGGTACAAGTTCACTGGGCAAAGAAAATTCTGTAAATTCTACCAAACTGGAGTTTGCTTCATATTGCTCCCTTTTATTCTACGGCGAAAAGTAGATTCACAACTTCCGCTATGATAATATTTAAGTACCAAGGCTTTTATATTATACAATTCGTTTAAACGGTTCCAAACTTGCAGATTGTTAACTTTACTGCCTGCTAGGGCTATTGGCATGAGTATAAGATGGCTTGAAATTGTAAAGTAGGCTAATAACCTTTTAAAAAGAAGTTATTTATTTCCTTGAGAATTATAACCATTTTAAAATGGGCATGTAAACCAAACGGCCGGTGTTTAATTAGTGCATTAAATAACGCTATATCTTCTATAGCCGTCCAGGCTCCTTATTTACTGTTAAGTCCAAGTATAACAAAAAAATTTAGAAATATAAACCAAAAGAATATTGGACACTAGACACATCTGATTCCTTTGACGAGTTTATGCTTTTTTCGTGAACCCTCAAGTCCAAATATTCCTTTGCTGAAGCAGAATCTTCTCTCAGATAAGATTTATTTTCGAGACAGTTTTCTTGCGAATATTAAGTTTTTTTTATAGTTTGTAAATAAATATAAGCTCTTACTGGTATTTGACTACTACAGTTATTGTCAAATCTTATACTAAACTTCTCAAACTATATGGTTAAGATATTCGAAAAGCCATACTACCTGTTAAATCTTCCAGGGCCACCGGAATCTCTTGTGGAGGCTTAGAAATATCTGTTATCTTTAACGCGGACAAAAACTTTTTAGAATGAAAGGATTTTCCCACAATAGGCTTATTTTTATATTTAACTTCTATAGCCCACGAAAAGTATGGTGAATAACAACAAAAAATAGCTAAATAGTAGAATGTAACAGACTACCTTTACGCTTAGTCATTCATAACAAACGATTAAAAAATCCTAATATATATAAAAAGGTTTAAAAGAGTTCAACAAAGACATGCATCGAAGGTAGCGATGAATATTTTTAAAATTATATCCCAAGAAAACTCAGTTTAGATATATGTTTAGAACACATGGTACTAAGACATTTATGGTTAAATGTGGTTCGGTATATCGTGCTTTAAAAGGTTGATAAGTGGCGGAAAAGTGCTCATTTGAATTCAAAAGTTTTTCTTAATATGAATTTTTTTAATAAAAATTAAATATTACCGGAATTTTATGCATTGATTAGGTAAACGCACACCATATGATTGTGAAAATAATAGAATATATAAATAACTGTGAAAAGTGTTCAAAGTAATATTAAAAATATTTGCACCTCTTCTTTATGTTGGCATTCCAATCTTTAAAACATGTCTTTTATAGAACTTATGTTTTTATTTTCTGGCCTGAACAGTCCAGGTGCTCCAAACTTTGCTTCTTTCCCCAAAATCTTAACCTTAACTTTCAACCTTTAAGGTTCTGTTAAAACCCCTCTTATGTAATGAACCCTGTAGAAAGGGAGGTGGTTTCGCTTTGCGCTCCAAGCTCTAATAACATTTCAACTTCTAAAAGCTTCCTAATAAGTTTTTTTGTCGAGCCTTTGTACTCTCGTTATCGATTAATCGCACCCCACTAGAAATCTTCTAATAGAGAGCTGCGGTTTATTTCAACATGGAAAGACAGTTTTTTTCAAGACGTCTTGCTTCCGGTGAACAAGTTAATAGAGATCTGAATTACCTGCTGGCTCAAAACTTACATACGAACCCTGGGGCTGTGCGTACTCTGTTTAGAAATATATACAAATTGATGAGAATACTTGAGACCACTGCGCTCGATTATACCAAGCACCTCATATTTTCCCTGCAACAGTAAACAACATCCATAAACTTTTTTTTTCAAATAAAAGACTATTGCCATAGCTTGCATTAAGTTAAAAAACAAGTTAATACCCTTTAAAACTTAACAAACATATGTCACATAGATCAAAATTAGATCTTAAAAACTGTAAAACTTAGTAAATTCTTTGAAACTGAAATAATACCAACCACTATTAATGGTATTACTATAGGCTATTAGGTCACCCTCAGTGACGCAAAAACATTTCTTGCGAACACACCTAGAATTCTAGTACTTAACATCACAGATTTATAGCTATTAACAAATACACTTTTAAGGAGTTAAATTAAAAAGTGACATTAACATTCTCCTAAACACCACTTTTATAATACACAAATTTTACACCTGATAAAGCAACTAGAATTTTGGTCAAAGTATAACGGGCTCCTTAAATTAATAGTAAACGATGCCACGCTAGACACCTCTTTGGCTATTTCCTTATACCGCTGGCGATTTACATACAAAAATTGCAAAAAAGGTCAAAGAATACTTTCACCGAACTCAAAATGTTAACATGAATCCCGTAGTTACAGTTTATTTATTGATTGATTACTTTTTAATTAATAATACAATTTAGGCCATTTCATGAGTTTAATATTTTTCATGTATGTGCCTTTCTCTTAAATAGAATGGTAAACTTTTGTTTTTTGGCCTCTTGTTCTCTGTTTCTGCGTTGGCAGATACCGTTGGTTGGTTTAGGTACTGTCAATCGGTTAAATAGTATTTTTTTCACAAAGAACAATACCTTATTCTATAAAACCTTTTTTCTTACAGAAGAAAACAACGACATTCAAACACAGTGGGACACATTAAGTAATTAAGGGAAACACTTTTTTTAAAGATTACATAAGAATAGTAAGTGTAATCAGAGCCACGCGGTAAATGTTACCATTGCAATGGAAATCTAAGCAATGACGCGGTTTTGCTTCGTCCAATAATATTTTTAGTTATTCCGCTTATTTTCCTAAATAGGATTTGGTGCGCATATACCCACTAGTGTATAATCCCATAACCAAATGAGTGTCTCGAACTAAAAATTAGCAGAGATATTTAAATTAAAGAGAGGTTGTTTTATAAATGCATTATTTTGTAATCAACACTATTTTTACCGTACTGATTTTTAACTTTTATTAATAATACAAGTATAGAAGTTGATCAATTAGCTTGCTCAAATTATTTGGGATTACGATGACATAATGCACTTTGTTAAAGTATGAGTTTGACCTAACCGACTGACGGTATGCAGACTTTAAAATCTGACTAACGAACAACCTCTGCTAATAGGAACAAGGAAGAAGAGGCCAAAAATTGGAAAGCATAGCTTACAACTTTATTGTAAAATTACGGTTTATATACACAGATTATTACCCCAATATAATGCACTAATGTAGATTGCATAATTGATAAGCAAAATAAACAACGATTCACTTGTAAACGGCGTGATTCATTTTAAAAATTTTTAAATATGGAAGCCTCTTATTTGTGTTAATACATTTTTGTTTTTTAGTAAGATCTTTGTATGATATGATTTTTTAAAATCTACGTATTTAGTAGACTAAACTTTTAAATACAAAAATTTTAAACAGTATATATTAGAAATAATTAGCATAATAATTGTAAAGGTTATGTTTAAATCCATTATTGGCAAATACTATATATACATTACTTCCTTCATGGTTTTAACTTTAAGCTGTAAAAGAAGAACTAATATTTAGCGTTGCTTTACACCGCACCTAAGAACGGCATGGGGCGAGTAGAGTTATTAACGCTCATATATAAACTAAAATGAACTCCTATAATCTCATATCGCCTTCTTAATTTTACTAGAATTCAAAAGGTTACTTGACTCCTAATTTAATTAGTGGTTTAACCAACTAAATCATGAGAGAATATGGGTAGTGACAAAACTTGAATGACATATTAGTACACAGTAAATTAGTTTCTTGAAGAGGAGGGTCGCATAGGAAGAAAATCCTCGGCGTGGATATTATTGACTATTCCAGGACCACTGAGCTAAGAGATCTAAACCACATTGTGCTCTTTGTTATTATTGGTCTATTGTTATTTAACTATTGTGTGCATTTCTTTTAGCAAGCAAGCACACTTTCTTTTTCTTACCAGTTTCTGGTGGGTGGTTGCTCGGTTTGCTTTCAGGAGTTCCTAATTCTCTAATCACTAAAAATTACTTTTTTGAACTAAGAATAAGCACATTTTAAATATGGAGCCTTGAGAATACACTAAATTTATTAAAAAGTTGTGATTCTTTAATACAAAAATAATTGCCAAGCTTTCAAGTTTTGACTACTTAAGTGTCGTCAGCTATATCCAAAATCATATTTATAATTGAATTTTTGTATTATTCTTATTACTCTAACCGCTCTCCTCTGCTTTCAATCAAAATTTAAATAGAGAGCATGGTAGTACGCTGCCTTGATTCTACTCAATGTTTATCTTATGGACGAAGTACTTTGCAACTTCTTCGACTTTTCCCTATTAAGCTATTAACTAAACAATATTATAGTAGAACAGTTAAATTCAATTCTGTGTTAACAACTTCAATTGTGAGCTAGCTTAGAGCCTATAATACATATTTTTACTAATATTATTAAACCGTTGGTTTAATAGGGAACTCAAATTTGTCAACAGAATTGGCAGCAAGATCATTAAGAATAATTATTTATTAAATGAATTCTGTTGACTTAAAAACTACTATTCAATAAGTTGATTTTTGCTGGATGTATAGCATAAAAGGATATTAAATGTTGCGGTCGAAAAGACAAGTAGATTTATTGTCCAGTAGCGTATAACTAAAGAAATTATACAAACTGCACGCCACATCCTTTTTGGTGCAGCTTTGATGTGCCTAAGCCCTACATGAACCATCGCGTCTTTAGCGCGTGTCTGTGTGTTGCACAGTTGCTCCTGAAAGTGTAAGCAGCGGCAATTTTGGCTACACTCTGTCTCCCGCTTGCTTTTTCCCGCTTAATGTGGGCGACGTACCGCAAACGGATAATCCACGTTAGAAAACTCTACGGCCAGCCTCTTGTTAAAAGTAGTTTATCTCTGCATAGGTTACTACTTTCGCTTGCCAATATGAAATTGATAAAAATAATCCATTTATGCTTAGAAGCTTCAGCTAGGAAACAAGTTACATAAAACTTCAATTAAGGTTTTAGGAGTCAGCAAAAGGAGACAACTTTATAAAAGAACTTATTTTTCTTTATCTTATTTTCTCCTCCTTATTCTAAGTTTCTATAACATTAAATAAGTTTAAAGTCATAAAGATTAATGCATTATACGGTGGAGTATATAGCTGGAAAAGGTAATAGCTTATGGAGATTTTTTTATTCGTTATCATATTTCTATAAATATAGTTATGCCGAATTTGTAATAATTAGTAAGTGAATTTCTAAAAATTACAGTTGTTTTCAATTGTCTGATACATGCCCAGCATCTATAACTATTAACTAAGTTTGGTGACGCTGAACTTTTATCCTAAGTACTAAAATTAGTTGAATACACCACGCTACGCCTTTCTAAACTGATTATTTAAGGTATAACCATTAAAACTTTATTTTTGGAACGCCTAAAAAAAAAAGTTTTTGCCTTCTATTATAAGTTATTCTTGTTTATATATTTTTTTAAGGAAGGCTAAAGCATTTAAAAATTTACCACCGGAACTTTTATAGTAAAAATGGAGAAAAAAGGAGTGCAAAACTGACCAATTTTTTTATAAACATCCATTCCAACTTAAAAGCCGAACACTCTCGATATGCAACTTTTTTAGGACCACTCAAAAAAATAAAAGTTCTTTCGCCCTATTCTTATAATGGTGAATTGATGGTGGAGCAAATCGCGTGTGGTGACTTGGGGATTGGCGCTGTTAACAGTCTATATGTACATATTCATATATAATAATCCACTAATTGGATATAATAACGTATAGAAAAGCACAAAATTGCCTTATTGTTAAGATAAAGACCCTTCGAAGCAAGTAAGCGGCGCACGGCGCCTAAAATGAATTATAAGAAAGGAATTTGACGGCAGAAGAGAAATATGGTCATCAATATATACGAGATCTGCGTAAAACCTTTTGATAAGTTCATGCGGGGGGCCAAGTCCAGCACGGTGAGGGGCCGTTGCAGCAACTCTTTAGGGAGAAAAACGGTAGGAAAGCATTTAAAAACTGTTTGAAAAAAATAATTATTAAATCAATCAATTAATTCTATAGTAAAGTTTTACCAGTGCGTAGTTCGTCAACCGACAGATTCTCCAGATTTCCGCTAAATAATATTGAAGTAACACTTTTAGCTTGGCGCAAGCCTCTCCCTAGAAACGAATAACAGGAAGTTTACTGCTTTAAAAACAAACGCAGTGCTGGAAACCTCCGTGGACGAGAAAAGTCAGGTGCTCGGAAAGTGCCTGCTGAGCAAGACGCTTTTCGGGCTCTGCCTGCAAGTAAAGTTAGCAAATGAATTATTTACCGCCAGTAATTATAATATACGAGATGAGCCTTAACAATGAACTGTATTTCATCAAGAGGTAGGAGAGTCAGCACTTTAAGTAAATATTCCACTTCATCATCAGAAACATTTAGAAAATACTACAAATATAATATCCTACTGATGGTAATACTAAATAGTAGATTACTTGGTAGAAGTAATAAGGAGAAGTCTTCTCTGCGTTTAACCAAATCGAATTTCCAGCGCTTTTTCCTAGCTTTTCACCATTTTTGTTGGTTAAAAGAGGATTTGTAACGCCTGTAAAAAGTTATGGAACAGTAAATGTGTAAAAAGTAAGGGAATAGTAAATTAACCAAGATCTTTTCAATAAAGATTAATTGATATAGGTAATAAACCATGGACAGAGTATCCAGTAACCTTCCTCACTAGTTCCGTGCCTCCAACAATGTTACCAAACTGATCATCTCCTCCAATCTACTTATAGTGAAAAGAATAAACATGTTAACGGTTTATATTAAAAATAGTTTGCTATATTGTTAAATAGAGAATCCACCTGAAACTCGCATTGGTGCGTACAAAACAAATGCAAAAAGTCGTAGGCCTGAAATACTTGATAACATAATTCAGAGAGAGTTGCTCCCTCGCCGACGAAAAGGCGAGTTTTGATGCTTTGTTAACAATTTAAATTAATTAAATCTGAATCCGCGTTTATTAACAGGAAATACGTACCACTCTCTGGCTAGCATATTCGACAGACGAAAGTGCTTACCAACAAGCGACAAAAAACTTATAGGATTAAAATTAGTGTACCAATCATAGTTATTTAGTATTTTTAACTCTTCAGGGAAACTGATATCGCTCCCCATATTATTGCTATATGCGCAGTTTTGGCCGCCACCCTCAGTATTTTTAACAATCAAGTTTTTGGTTTTAACAAAGTTCATAGAATTATTAAAAAAGTTGGCAATATCTCGCCTAATTCCTATTAGATATATTAACAAAAGAATAAATATAAAGTAAACATATTATACTCATACCTGTGATGTTTTCTAATAAAACTTTTTCCTGTAGATCTAGCCTTTCGGAAGTTCGCCAGGAAGGATCTCCAAGGCGACCAGTAGCACCACCTATCTATTAATTTAAATCTATGAGGTAACCAGGGGGGAAATATAATAATACCACTATGATAGGTTTATGCCCAAATTTCATAAAATGGACTAAGGTTATGAGTGTTACCATATTACCAATATGTAAAGATCCTGCAGAAGGATCATAACCACAGTAAACTGTTTGGGGCTTCTTTAAAAGTGCGTCCTCGGCACCACTTAATTTAAAAAAATTATTAATTTAATATATAAAATTTTTTATTTACAGATGTTACGCGGTTGAGGTTTGCCATAATAATCTTGACTTTAATAAAGTAACAATATTCTTTTCGTGATTTCCAAGCGAACTTAATGTTGAAGAAAATTTTATAGTTACTTTTTTAATATAATAGCAATCCAACACTTCTCTTACTCCTTTCTTTCTACTTCGAAAAGCGATAGGGAAAGAAAACCTCATCCAGTTAAAAAGCTAACTAACCTTAAAGTCCGTGAAAGTTTGTAAAAAGTTGAAACCACAGCGCATGTTTGCGAGTCTCGACTTCGCCCTCGAAAAGTACACTTAACCGGACCAATTTTTTTTCGCTTTTAAATTCTGATGTATTAAAAAATTGCAATTTTTTCCCTTTACAACCTTTTTTAAAAGTTACTTACAAATAACAGTCATCTCTTACAATAATTAGTATAACATTGTACATTTTTTCTTGTCGCTAATTAATTAAATAACCCCCCCTCAATCGAAACTTAGTAGTCGTAGTGCAGCGTTAAATTTATAACTGAAACAACGACCCACGCTCTCCCCAACAGTCAAATCAAGAGGGCGACCCTCTTGAAAAGGGCTTATACATAATTTACAAAATTATAAATTTTAATAAAATTTCCGTAATTATTTGGTTTCTTTGCTCCTTCCTAAGTAATTGCATAACGAGCATGTTTTAAGGTTGTTATTGAATCTTTAGTGATATCCGTTTACAGATCCTACCAAGTTCCAATAACTGTTCTATAATTGAGAACAAAAAGTATGCGATCTTTTAACCTAGAATTTAAGTATTGGCTATAGTTTAAATAACCTAGAAATAAATGCTTTCACGGTAGCGATATTTTTTACCCGGTCAGTCTGGGCATCATGACCAGACAATTCCTAAGGCTTTTACTCAGTGAATTTCTTTACTCAAAGTTTGTGATACTATGAAGAAAGTAGTTTAATTTAAAATTTAGGTTTCTATTCTTGACCTTAACAACAGTTCATCTGTAACTATTATTTCTACGCAAAGACTTTCGTTTAAAAGGATTAAACAACTATTTCTTTAAATAAGATTTATGCTTATTTCCGGGAGGTAATAACTAAACATAGGGATGACTAAAGGACTGTAAAGTTCAGTTGGTTTTGTTCAGTAATCTTGTAGTTTTTATAATCTTCGCAAGTTTATTTTTTAGAATTTTATCACCTTAAAGCACGGCTCTAAAATTTACACAATTGAGGGTATTCATTTACTATTTATCAGGTAGTTTTAAATTAATTGCATAAATAGTCAGGGAGGCCTGGCCGGCATTGGTGCTGGCCGGGCCCCCAGGTGGTTTTAAGCGGTATTCAATCACACTAGCCCAAATGATTGGGAGCCCGGTCCGGAAAATTTTCGCTTTTCCAGTTCTTCGGCGCAGCTATTATAGCTCTCTATAGAGCGTCTACTGGCGCGCACTCGTACCCAGCCCATGCAGAAGAGAACTAGTCAGGTTAAATGGCGTAAGGTCTCTTACAAAAACCGACAGTAGTATGCCATTGTCTAAAAAAATTTGGGAGGCTCATCGATTTTTTTTCGCGCTCTTTCTTTCTTTTCAGTTTTTACCGCATCTTTATTATTTTAGTTTTACGTTGATATAGAGGATCAGCGGTATTATAGAGGTAATAGTTTTAATCTATAGAGCTAGAACAAAGACTAAATGTCTAGAGGGCGTATAGCTCGAAATTAATAAATAGCGTAGTAGTATAGAAAAAAAAAGTAGATAGTTAGTTAACTAGTTTTACTGAATTTTTTAAACATTCATCTTTATCACGATTAGTTTTACTTGAAAAAACAAGAGATCAATCTACAATTTGTTCCATTGCGCTAACTTTTATTAATACAAAGGTAGTTCTGCTAACAAATATCTTTAGGGGTATGATATTGACGGTTTTGTAGGGTTTATCGTGCATACAACCCCTCCAGTTTACTTTAGAGTGATGTAATTATTTGTGCTTAGACCTAAATATTACATCAGAAGTCGAAAGGTCGTCGCTAAATAACTATCCATCTAACTAAATTTACTTGGTTTTAAGTCTAATGAATTTTTGTTCTATAAGATTTAAAAATTTAGTCTAGTATTTGCCGGACCGTGATATCACTAAAATATGATAGTATTTAGATCTTTAAAGCAAGTTCCTAAAAAAAAGCTAGACGAAAAATACCTTGCACAAAAACAGATTACGACCAGTATAGTTTAGAAAACTATTAATTATTTAAGTTGGTTTAAAAAAGAGTCTTTCATGGGACGGTTAATTGCTAAAAAAGTCAACTACAATAAGCAGCTGTCTGACAGAAAGACGTCTCTTTTTATTGTACACTTGAAACTATTTAATACCAGGAAACGTACGTAAATATACGAAATACGGATCTACTTATTTGAAAAGAAAAACCTTTTAACTGTTAAAAACACTTCTCGGGAAAACTATTAATAAAAATTAAACCGTAAACAGTTTTTTGTGTTTGGTTGAATTACCAAATAAAAATTAACTTTGAAATTACAATTAATTCCCATTTAAGAAAATTAATTTACCATTTTCTTTAATATTAGAAAATTATTTATGGTAAGGTATAAATTTGAACTAACATAAATTAATATGAATTTCTTGCAACTTTTTTTTGATGCCTAAAAGATAAATTTTTAAGTAACTATTAACTTTGTTAGAGTTGGTTCGCATATGTTGGAATTAAAACGATCATTGAATTTTATGAAGTGCAAAATGTTTCTTAAATACTGTTACTTAAGAAATTGGTGGGCAGTATATACTTTTGTAAGCTTAACAGTAGTATTAAAAGGTAAAGCAGGGTCTAAAGTTAAATACTGTGTGGAAGCAGACTGTAAACTTAGTAAACAGGCAGTGCGACCGCCGGTCGAGCTTTTATTAATGTTAACGTTTATTAATAGAAAATTCTAGATTAAGGGTAGTTTGCGTAAAAAAGTAGAAACTAAATAAAAGAAAGTAACCGAAATATCTATTCCAGCGAGAATTTCAAGCCTTTTCTACCTCCTTCAAGATCGTTACTATTTGTTTTAAGAGGACTATCTAGTGAATACAATATTTTAAGTTAGCGGAGATTCCATAATTATATAGTACTCTTTAGCTTAATTTGCCTAAAATGGTCTCGCTAAAATCGGTTAAGAACAAGAACTGAATTATACTTACCAAAAAGCTGGTCTTTGAAAATTATAGCCTATCAACGGGTAATAGTTAAAAATGGGTTTATAAGTTAAGCAAAAACTTTCGCTTCTTGGCTTTTATCGCACCCTGTTTACTGGCCTGTAACTGCTAACATGACACTCAGTTTTTCGTTTAAATTTATAAATTTATTAATAGCACTGGCTAACTACAGGCGTAATTATTAATCAAGTGTTGCTTAATTTACTTTTCATCTATTATTTGAAAATGCAGAAACCACTACTTCCTTAACGACTCATTGCGCCCTCAACGAGATAACGGATGCCCTCTATCATCACAGTCGAATTATAGTATATATCAATAAGGACGTAGTAGTAAGGTAACAACAATATTACATGTAATGGTATAGTTAATTTTATAACGTTATATTACTAAAAAATATATATATTAAAAAGTTAATTAAACAAACTATAATCTTAGCCATATTACCCCTTTAATGATTTTTGAAAATATTTTGGCCGCAAGTACCCGGTGCATCAATAAGATTTACAATCAAAAGCCTGTCTAATTAGTATGTTGTGGTGACTACTGGCTCTAATTAGCCAGTGTAGTTGTATGTTGCGCACAAACTAAGTGGGGGAGGGGGTCCACCACCGTTCTCAGAACGAGATTTTGTCATATTTGCAGGCATGAATATTTTTGCTTGAGGAATAGGCCCATGCTATAAAGGCATAGTCCATCAAAGGCGTATATAACCAATTGGTTTAACAGAAGCGTTTTTTTTAATTTGCTCTTTCTGTATAGAGATATAAAACGACTGTAGCTTGTCTAACGAAAAAAGACGCAAGAAAGATGCGGACAATGTGGTATTACACCTGTCATTCTAAAGAGCTGCTTTAAACTACATAATTTTATAAATAGCAAAAAGCTTTATAAACAAAAGAAACGCCTGTATAATTTGCTGACATGGGTCTTCCCAAAAGAAGTATTTGTAACCATCTGTAGGTATATAGTATCACCTATTTTTTCAGTAATTTTTAAACAATTAATCATAAAAGCTTTTTATTAGTAAAATTCTTACTATATGTTTAGCTTACCTTCGGGCCATTTAAGTTATCGTTAGAAAATTTGTTTAGTGTTTAATGTTTTTATATAACATGTTTTTGTGTTAAACATCAAACAGCTGATTCTAAAAGTGAACAAATATTAAAAATAGGGTTACCTAAAGTTATCTGATTTTTAAAAATAAGTTGTTTCTGTGGTATCAGATACCGTAGGCCAAGCTTACCGGCACCGCCGCAGAATAAATATTAAATAATTAAACATCCGAAATTACGTGTAGTATACGACTTCTAAATGGTTGGACTTGATTGGTCATTAACTCAGTAAAACTATTGTTACCATTAGACTGCTTATTTGATACTTAACAGCATAATTTTTTGCCGTTACAAAAAACAAATAGAAACTACCAAATTTGAATATTTAAATAGCAAGTTAACTAAATATGGTAAGCCCTCCTAAAATAGTCAGTGATTATGAAGACTACTAATTAGTAGTTAAGTTTACTAAATACTTTAAAAAAACTGGGCAAGTAGCTAACTTTTCATCTACCTCAATGTTAATGTCCTTACCAAGTGACCAAAAAAACTCCCGACTGTTTATAATAAGGGGGTAACATCTCAAGAACAGCGCACATGTGGTTATATACGTTTGGCTCGCCCACCCGCTGCAGATTTTTCTTTTTCTTTAATTGTTAATGCAGATGGGTTTGGCCCTCTGGGGGGGTCTATAATAATCATACATTTACAATGATTTCCAGTACTTCGACTTTCCTATATTATTACTTTATTTTCTATAATATACTTTATATTATTTTTATTATATTACCTTACTGCCCAATACTATACAAGTTATTGAAGACTTAAAGCCCGTGAAATCAGCACTCTTCGGAAGGACACAGTCTTTAACCATGCGGTGAAAATGTGTAAACCTGCACGTGCCTCTGTATAACAGGAATTTTTATGTGTTCGAAGTTTTTAATTTCAGCGAGCTCCCAGGGAACCATTTATAAATAAGTAAATGTAAATAGTCTACGTTATGGCTAATAACAGTTTTTTAATAGGTATTAAATGCACTATTTATAATATAAAAATTAATTAGTTAAGGATGTTTTCCTAAAATGTATTTTTATGAGAAAAAGATTATTCAAGCGATATTTCGCTTAATACTATATGCTTCAACAGTCCTAATTACATTCCATATTAAGAATTTGTTTGGTATAATGGTTTCCGTTACTGAATCGCGCATAATTATTTCCATATAAGGCGGACTAAAAAAAATTTATTTAAAGATTCTAGATTAGTATGTTTAGACACACCTTTAAACAGTGTTAGTTTCGTGAGATGGTGATTTGTTCTTTTTAAATTGCAATCCTAACTTTACATAAAAGCTTTTAAATTTCAAATATATAACTTAATTTTAATCGCTCTTTTAAATAAAGCTTATAGTACTATCAATAATTTAATAAAAACTATACAAAATGCTAATATTTAAAACTCTGTGGATATAGGTAAAGTGATTATTACTTTATAATCTAAAAGCTCTTTTAATTATTTAATTAGCTTTTCGGAAGAAAAATTAAAACATATTTCAATAATAGTTTTTCTTATCCGAGGAAAACTACTTTAATTTTAAAATTTATTTTAAAGTTAAGTGGGTTCTTCACAATAGAATACCCGTCACGCTAAGAGTTGCCCATCTTTCATGTCTACCGGGATCATTTATTAAGGTGTCGTTGACATTGCCAGTACAAAAGATAACTTTAGTGTAAACAACTATTAGCCAAGGTAGAAAGTCGACTGCAGCGAATAATTGCAGGGGAGCCCATGGTTTTATCCGGGGTGCTCCCTTGCATCGTGATTTGACTTGGAAAACCCTCCTAAATATTTTCGTCTCATAACGTGGAGAGCTATGATAAATACTTGGCTCATCCCAATGATTTTATATGTCCGAGGCATAACCATTGGCGCGCAGGCGCTTACCCTCGTTATAGGGGACCATGAGACCTTTTTACCGCTCTTGCGGCCTTTCAATCATAGAGCACTTTTCAATTAAACTATAAATCTAGTCAAGAAGAATTTAAGCCCCCTTCTAACTTTGGCTGGCAGACATACATACTTTTTTTTTAAGACTCAAAAATTTCACAGAAATACTGGTGAGAAGCCTTTCAAGGGCGATCTCCCTCACGAACAACACGAACAAAAGGAAAACGAAACGACTACTCCAACACAGATATACGACCTTTCGAAGACAAAAATATTATTATATAAACCTTTGGTCGTGAAGTCTTTATATACCACTCCAACGTAATAGGAAATGGGATGACAGGGTTATAGAAGGCGTCACGCTATCTAGGCCCCATGACCCGATACAAGAGGATAACAAAATACTAAACTTGACAAACGAAAATTATTCGCTTAAGAAATATTGCATGTTTTCAACAAGCTTTTTCTTATGAAAAAATAAACAGAAAATTATATCATAATTTGAATTTATATAAAAACGCTTAAAAAAATAAACAATAAAACAAAATACTATTGATTGTAACCAAAATAATTTAAATGAAAGTATTGGTACCAACACGGCAGCAGAGGTAGTAAATAAAGAAAACGACTTTAATATTAACAATTCAAAAATGATGAAAACCAAAAGAAAACTGCAATATTTTAAATATAATTAACAATACTTAACATAGAAAAGATAAAAACTCGACAAAATACGAACCTTTCATAAATAGTTTTTTCCAAAATAAACTTGAAAACAAAACAAATGAACTATGTACGCAAACTTAAAAACATCAGTATATAGCATAGAGGAAACCAAATTAATAAAAACTTAAGTGCCATAATAAAGTTAATTTATAAAATTAATACAATCAATTACAAGGGACAGAACAAAAGGACTAACGAGAAAGAGACAAATAAAGATGAACCCTTTTAAAAACCCACCAATAAACATATAAAACACTGACAGCTGCTAATCAATATTTTGAACAAAAAAATACAAGAAAAAAAAATACTATTTAAATATACACCCAAGTAATATAAAATATATCACGCCCAGTCCACATAGTGAACTAGTTTTTAATGTTATTAATCTTACATACTTGATAACCTAAAGGTATAATATGTTAATAACAAAAGAGAGTCACATATTATATATTATATTACAAAGATGATATAATATAGAGAAGAAGAGCTGTAATAATTTAATTGCTCTCGAGCGGTCATAGTAGCACCACACTCACCACCCCTTAAATGTTTAATTAGGGCTTTGCCCTCAGACGAACCCTCAACTACATGTGACAACTTTTAAAAACCCCTATAAATATCGCTATAAGCCCACAACGGTAAAAAAGAACAGTTGCTAAAATTAATTTTTCCCCCAACATTTAATGAAGCTAAAATTTTGAAAAGAAAAAAAGAATACATGAAGGAAGCACGAAAGGAACTTTAATCATCTCACAATGTGAATGCCTACCGACCTATCACTTTAGTGTTCTCTCTTGTAAAAGTGTTGGAAGTGACTAATTTATGGAAGACTAAATTAAGGTTATTAAACACAACCAGTTTAAGCAGAACAGTATGGTTTTCGAAGGGGGCATTCCATTTCTATGCGTAGTTGAACAAGTTTTTAGTGTTCGAAAGTAAAAAAACCATAAAAGCGTCTTGCTTAATGTCCAAAAAGGCATTTGACAACGTATAACATGTGGGACTTTCATTTAAGTTTAAGTTTTAAGTTGCAGTATTCGAGTTTCTCCGTGCCTTTAGTTTAATTCGAGACAATATTATAAAAACACAAGAATTCTAGTTGAATGCGGCGCCAGCTTTCCATTCAATGAAGCTTCAGGTTTTTTGTTTTTTCATCGTTGCCTTTTTCGACTTAACTATAAATTGTGATACTAAAATAGTATATTAGCAGATGATGTTGCACGTGCACATCTTAAATCCTTTCTTACAGCGAGGGCAGGATGGTAACAAAAATGGAAGTTAAAAACGGTTAAATTATATTAATAGAAAGAGGATTTCGGACAAACGCTTCAAATTGAACGAGGATGGCATTTTCCATGACTTCCAGATATCAAATATTATGGATTATACGTAACTAAAAATAGAGTTAAATAAATACATAGTTTATTGGGCTGTAGGTCCTCTCTACGCCCGCTTAGCAGTCGAAAGGGTAAATCTCACTTAAAAACAAGTTATTAGTGTACAAAACGATTATCCGTTAATTTTAACATATACGCCTATCCTGTTTAAATGTACCGCTCCCAGCTTCTTTAAAAACTTCAGCGTAATCAAAATAAGCTATAAAGAATGTTTAATGACACGGTGATTTATTAACAATGTTATAGGGTGCATAACGAAAAGTACATTCCGCGGGGTGGCCAGGCTGGCAGCAGTGCTGTTCGGTATCCGCAGGTTGCCTCTATTACACCTCTCATGGAGGTGGGTTGTAGCGTTCTACCACTGTAGGTTAAACGGCGGAAGTCCGAGCCCGGAAGGCCTCGTCTACCATGCAATACAGCTGGTTAGTATATAAAAATAAAGTTTAAGAGCAGGGTTTGAAGATATTATCCGGTAACATTTATGTCGTCGCCACAAACTGTTCTGTATACGTTGGAGTTCAATGGCACCTCTTTCATAGAGTTAACTTTTTTTTTGATCAAACTCAAGTTTCCCATTCGTTTGATTCCATACGGAGATGTTGCCTTCATGTATTTACTAGAAGCCAAGGGGTTTTTTAATGATATAACTACTATATAGACACTAACGAAAACGTTTATAAATTCATATAAGTTTTCAAAATAAAATTATGAGTTAGGACGAGACAAGTTTAAATACCACCTAAATTTAAAGGGTTTCGTTTTTGTTAAAGAAAACTAGAACAAATACCTTTAAATCCTATTTTAGTCCTATAGATGTTCTATCATTTTTGACTTTAAAAAAACTCTATAGTACCTTTTAAATGCCCTAATTACTTTAAGTTAAGTTTTAACTTGTTTTTTTAGAAGTGTCAATCTTTGTCCTTCAGTGCCTTAAGTATTTAATCTAGGCTATAGGCCGTGTTGGTATACACAGATGCAGCTATAGACTGTTCTTCCCCGTTACTGAGAAGCATGCTGAAACGTTTATGTTTTTTAAAGCAAGTCGAACTCGAATAAATAGGGATCTTGCGCCGCTCTATCTTAGTTTTTATTAAGAGTTCGTTTTCACCGGCCCTGTAAGACAGCTTTTAGCAGTATATTAACATTTAAAGGTTCAAAATAGCCTCTCAGTAATCTTAAGTATAACAACGCCTTTCCTGGTGGAACAGATAACAGCACTAATGGATTTTATAAAAACAGATTTCCCCTCCACTAATCACAAGGATTTTTACATTGGGTGTAAAATAAGAAGGCGCTACCACCGATCCTTAAGAGCGGTACAAAAGACAATAGAAAGGAATTTTACAAACAATAAATAGTCCTTTATGTAAAATATAAAAAATACTAAAAAATTATTATAAAGATTTTTTGCAAACAAAAAGATGTGAAATATTTCAATAATAAATAGGTTTGTCCCTCAAACTACCGCCTTTTATACAGACATGGCCTGAAAACGTTGCTATAAGCCATAAGTTTTTCCCTACTACCCATGCAGTTTCTCGCCTTCACAAACTCCAATTCTACAAAGTACGAATTCTGCTGGCCCTACAAAAAAGAGAGATTCTTAAAAAGTAATAAAGTACAAAACTGTTTATTTACCAATTCTACAATTTTAAAACCAATTAAGTTAAAAAGCGAGATAAGCCGCTTTATACTAGTTATTCGACTCGCAACCTCTGCGACTTTCAGCGTTCCACTAGCAGGTGGGAAGTTAAAAATATATAGTTAAGGAAATAAATTGACTTCGCACTGTATAAAAAAAAACTTAGCAGAGCACCCTAAAATCTTATTCGAAAAAGAATTCTTACGTATACGTAAAACCATGCCATTCTACTGTTTATTTTATAAAAAAACCACGGCATTTGCAATAACATATTTTCTAAATAGACTGCTTCAATACGAGAGACAAAAAAAGTTTTTACCCCAACTTTAAAACACGATGACCTTCAATTAGGAAATCAATAAAGTTGGTCCCCATCAAAGCTAAACAGTAGACGGCAATATCAAGCGAAGCACTAGACAAAGGAACCTGCAAAAAAGCACAATCAACATAAGACCGCTGCGCAATTTATATAAATAAAGCCGTTGGAGTGTACTAACAAAAATTTTGAAAAATACGTTAGAAATATCGCAGGTGATGACTTTGTCGTTAGCAGCAATTAAATCGAAGCTATACACTTTATTTCTCACGCTGGCTTGGAGCCGGGCCTCTCCACACCCGAAATCTCCAACGACTTTATTAATATCTTACAAAATAGTATAAGCAGAACAGAGGAAATAAATTTGTTAACAATTATAATAACATAGAAAATATACCTTGAAGTTTTATAAACTTGATTATGCTATCTAGAGGGTTACTTGGCCAAGAGTTTACCTGCGCACGAAAACCTTCGTGGTACTTATGTTACCGGAGTTAAAAAAACGTTATAAAAAAAATTAGAAAGACTCCTTTTTCAGTATAAATAAAATAATATAAAGCCTATACGCTGGTTCTTAGGTAAAAGATTTTTTTTTATAATTAAAAAATGAAAATTTTATTCTATTATAACAACTTTGCTTACGAAGAATTATATAAACCTAATAATTTTATGGGTTATTACCAGCAAGAACAATCGGGGATCGCTCTCCAATAATTTAATGGCCATGGAACTGGTACTAGTATATAGCTGCTCGTTGATCCATCTAAAGCGGGATCCTAAATAAAAAATAAATTTCAAATGTATAGTAGATAAAATGCATTGTAAGATGTCAACTTTTGTAACAACAAAATTGTAACTTTTTTTTGAGAAACAGAAGTTATATAAAACTTTCTGTGTATAGGTTTTGATATGTGACTGATGAAGTTAACAAAAAAAGAAGCAAACCCGCAAGCCTACAAAGAAGCTCTGCTTTGATTTCGCTTTTTCGTAAATCCGTTAAAAGTGACTTTCCTTCATAGTAAAAAAGTTGAAAATATAATTAATTTCTTTACAGAGGAGTATAGTAAGTATTTTCTCAAAAACCTCAAGTTTCTTACTAACCAGTGCTTACTTTTTTCTTTTTAATGAAGTCGTATTTTTTTTTGTCTCCAAATGTGAGTTCCCTTAAAGTAAAAGTATCTTTTTTTTTCCTCTTCAACAACTTTTTCATTATGAAATTATAATATTATTACACCTTACATTAAGTAAACCTTTAAAAATGATTTATAAGCTATGCAGTTCACCCACGACATGGGTTCTCACATCTCGCTATTTTCCAGCTAAAAGAAAAGCAGCGTGGACTTAGTACAAGACGTGAGTAAAGCGGGCTTAGTTTATTTTTCGTGGACTGTTTCCAATGTTTAACTGAAGCAATTCCTATCCTACCATATAAAGTTTGATTATTTGGGTTTCGTTTTTTTTGAGCCACGTTCAAGCGATTTGTCAAATAATTAAGACGGGAATCTACAGAAAATCTACTTCATAGTTTACTTAGTAAAGCATTAGCCTAGCGATCTGATTGAATTTACGCCTCGTTAAAAGGTGGGAGCTAATCTTAAGCAAGTTGCACCTTTTATTTATTGTAAGCAATATTGATTACTGTTTAGTAATAAGCAACAATTTCTAATAAAAATGTCTTATAATTTTATGTGATAATGCTGTAATGTAAAAGTATATTGTATAATTTTATTGATATCGCTTCAAAGTTTTGAAACTATTGAAATCCAGTAGGTGTTTATAAGTGTTATGAGTTAAAAAAATCACAAGGTACGATTGAGAAAATTGATGCCCGAAAAGTAAGGGCTTAAAGAATTGTGAGCTGGAATGTTATTATGCAAAGCGCTATCTAATAAAAGAGATTAATACAGCCTTGTTTTTTCTTACCCAACAGCTAAGAGGCGCTTATAGTTTAGACAAAGAACTACGGGGAAGAGGAATCAGAAATAATACTGGGGAAAGAATTTGTAATGTTGAGCTGATGTACCCTATAAAGGTAGTCGCGTTCAACTGGGGCTCTCTTGTAAAGCTATGCTTAATTTCAACGCTCAAGAGAGTCCGCCTAATATATGACCATGTAAAACTTCTATTTGCGGAATATGAAACTACTTATTTGTTACCTGAAGGGAAGAGAGGGTAGTAGAAGTAAAAAAAAATGGAAAGCAACTTCAATGCCGATAAGTTAGTGTCGTATGCAGTATTAGATTTCACTCTATCATTTACTATAGACACCTAAGAAATTTTGTCATTAGTATTCATATACGCTAAGACCAATAACCATTTTTTTATCCTTATAATTAATGAACACGTCACATTTTAATTTCTAAAAGTTAACACCTTAATTTGCTTACATGCTGTATTTATTTTTGTAAATATATTTGTTACGAAATATAATTAAAATCCTTATAAATGCTAAGAAATTTTGGCATTCGCCAATTTTGCGCTGTATGAAACATACTTTGCAGTTATTTGAGACCTTTGAAAAAGAAAAGCAGAGTCCTTAGACCATATAAGGCAACATTTATATAGAATTAAATTGATGTGTTTATGTAGTATATAATAGAATGAAACAAAGAAACAAAGAATAGAAGTAGACTTTATTTTGGGTTTGTATCGCTTTTAAGCATAAAATTTATGAAATTTTTAGGAAAATTAAAAATGTTGGGGAGTATTTTTAAGTACATGTTATTTGAGATTTTGGTAGCTTTTAGTCTCTTAGTAATCAATGGCATTTGGTTTTTAGCAATCCAGTAATAATGTCGGCAGTTTAATTGGCAATATTTAATGTTCGCTAATGTTATTGGTGGATGCAAAAGTTTTTGAGTAATACTATAAAGCAAATTTCTTAATCTCCGTACTTTCAGTTTGTTGGGACCGGTAGATCTGTCTTTGTGTAAAATGTTTTTCTTATTACTAAACCCCTTTGATGAGTCTTTCTATTTTACAACCCTAATGCTGGCATGGGAAAAGGTTACTTTTTTGCTGCCTTCACGCGTTGCTTACTGTTATCACGTCTACTTAATGGCTTGGTGGGGAGTCTAACTGTGTTTGATTTTTTAAAATGTTAAGTAAACTGAAAAGATCTTATGTCTTCCTTTTTTAAATTTAAAATCAATTATTTTCAATAAATTTTTTTAACGTTTACTTCTTCCCCCCCATCCCCCTCTGCGCTATATGTAAAAAAGGTTGCTAGTTATAAAAGACAAACAGTCATGGTGCAAATCAGTTGTAAAACGCGCTCGCTCAGCTTATATTGGGGTGTCCTTAAAAGTGGTGCTGAGAAAAACCATTTCGTAAGGTGATACCAAGACTTACCCTCCATTATTAGCTCTAACTCCCTAAATAACTGCAAATAGTTGCTTTCCTGTTATTATAAAGTACATTTCATCTGTACTTGCGCTAAATATTAGGACGACGCATTTGGTTATTAGACCACCCATTAAGTGTACCTAACAGGTTATGTGATATCCACGATGTTTTTTTTATATTTTACATATCATAAATATCTCTTTCCTCCTACATAAAGGAATTTAGGCTTATATTGAAATTGCTTCCAATAGTTTACGTGCCCGTATATGAAATCTTGGTGCATTAACATTATTGTAGATAGTAAAACGCTTTAACTTATTTTTGTTTTAAATTTTATTCCGTATAATCCATGTATCTCGTTTTCTAGTTTATAATAGTTTCATTGTTATTAATTATTCGTCTAACTTGGCTATATATATCAGGTTGCTGTAAAATTTTAATGGGGAAATAACCTTTTTTTGACCAAGTATTATTTTTTTTTATTAAATTTATAATGGTCAATTATATCGTTAATAGTATAAATTTTTTTTATTAATCTTTTAGGATAGTTTAAGGTTGTTTATCTAGGATATAATAAAAATGCTGTGGCGTTTGAGATTAACTTAATTATATTATTTAATGTAATATTTTGCTTACCATTCGGTGTTATGTCCATGCAATTATTTTTTGTGTAATCTTTATCGCAATTGTGATACGTATATGCTAATAAGTTGAGGTTTTTTGAAATTCGCATCCAATAATTAATTTTTTTTTTGACGACGCGTGTTAGAAAACTCACGTCGCCCGTCAATAATACCTCCTAATTTTGTTTCTCAAATGACTTTGTATAGTTTTTTCCAATGCTTTTTTTTTAATTCTCGAAAGGGGTATTCGCTATAACTATACTACAGCTCCTTCGTTCATATAACACTACTATAAAAGTGAGGCTGAGTTTATTAGGTAGCTGTTCGCCTAATATTTACCCTTACAAAGCGTTTGAAATATTCAAGTATTTGTAAACTAGTTTAATTTCCCGGCCCGTTTAAAAAAATTATTTTTATAATTTTTTGTACAATATGTTTCCCTACAAATATTAAATTATTTCTTTTTAAGGTTTAATTATGATTTTTTCCTGATTTGTTAAACTACTACTAGTTCTGGTAAATATACATATAAAACATGAAAATATTAAAAACTAGATATTCATTTCACGGCTGCCAAGAAACAAACTAATTAATTTTAAACTTATATTAAATAATTTCCCCAAGCCATGAAGGACATGAATTGATCATCTTACCTTATTATTAGAAAGTTTTCCAATGATACCTATCTCAAATTGGAGCTCTCAAAAAAAATGCAAATTTCACGTTTTAGCGTTTAATAAATATTACTAGTTTTTAACAGCCGCTTATCACGCTCTTTGGGTGGTACTGTTGAGCACGGAAGTTAATTCCGACGAAGATTGCCGTTTTCTTAAAGACTAGCTAGACGGTAGAGTAACTACGAGATGCCCTTTAAGTGCTAGGTTTTGTTCTTGTCTTCTCCGTTTTGCTGGGGTTACTGAACTGCTCATGGGTAACCGTCGTGTAAGGCTTCCTCAATCTGTAAGTGCCGTCAGTGGGAGACAAAGTTAAGTCACCCATCAGAGGTTAGCATTGGCAACCGCGTCTTCAGGAGGTTTATCAAAAATCTTAAGGTGCTATGGATGCTTATTGCTTCCTTTACTTGATGGCAATTTTGGAGCGGAAGACAGCGTAAACAAAAGTTGAAGGTTGTGCACACGCTTTATTGCCTCGAGCATCTAATTTCGCTCGGGATAAGCCTCAAATAAAAGATCTGCAACTGGTGAAAGCTTCACAATATAGGTGTTTTTATAGTGAAGTATGTCCTATGTCTTTTTATTAGTAATCTCAGTTCTGCCTTTGTCCTTTTTGTCATCTTAGTTTAGTGCGTAATTTTTAGCTTGCTCTCGTTTTTTTATGGTATTATTTTTTATGTAATAAATTATATATTAGTTTGCCAATTATGCTTATTTATTTATTTAAAGTTTTGTAACTTGGGCGAGCTTTAATATCATCATAAAACCCTAAGTCTCTGAGATTCTTTTAACAAAACGACACTTTTTGTAGGTCACCTCCCTTCTCAGTTGGCGCCGCTTGCTTCGGCAGTTGTAAGGTGAAAGGTCCCCGCCCTCGAGGGCATCACCGACATGCCGCTATGGCGACGGATCGTCTACGCAGCCTCATTCATTCGACGGGTTGTTTTGTGGGAAATCTTGCTTTACTGCGTAATTTCTTGCTCGATCCCTAGTTATTGACTTAAACACCGTGCTATCGTCACTTGCGCACGCCTCATCTGGCATCCCAGCTGGGTAGTGACAGGAGCTTATCAGCACAGCGCACGCTATCGCTGTTACGCGATATACGTTGAGTTTTTGTGAGGAACTACAGGTTTATATATATGAAATTGCTTTGATTTAAGCTTTAGTCTTGTAACGACCATCACTCTAAGGGCAGTTCGAAACTTTTGTGTATACTTACCCGGTTATTATTATAGGGGTATTAAATTAGTTATTACTACGTCTATTTTAATTAAGATATGCGTGCCATCTTAATTCGCCTGCTACAGAGCATTTGAAATTCTTTTGGTCATATTTCGTCTTAGCTTGATAAAGTGAACTTCATAATGTCGCACAATTGACTTTGTTTCCGCAACGGTCTTTAAGACAAGCAATTTCGTCGGGTCCTCCTATTTGAATATGCCTAGTTATTAGGCCTTGGAAGATTTAAATTTTTAGCTTTGCAGTTTTTAATTCAATTGTATTAAAAGTCAGACGTGTTCTTCAATTTATTAAAACTAAAAACTAATAGCTGAAAAATATATAACTGTTGCTATAAGAATTTAAAAGGCCATTATATTTTTTTAGCTTCAACCTCATTCATATGTGAGTATGTATGTAACACTTTTAACGTTTATTAAACGAATGAAATACAATTTTTTAGTTCACATAACTTTCTTTTGTTGCTGCAGTGGATGTTAAATTAGGACCTTTGCGAAGAGCGAGGGGTAAAACCCACTAACGAATCTTTAAGAGAGCTACAAGACTTTCGAAGTGAGCCAATATAACGGGGCCTAGTGTAGCCTAGGTTTAGCACTTCTGAGGAAAAGGTCTAGTGAAGAACGTAATAAAAGTTTAAACTCTGTTACTCGCTCACCCTATTATAAAAAAGTGTGTGGAAAGGTCCAAACCCTGCTGAAGAAGAAATTTCCAAGAATACACTTATCTTTGCTCCTTCTACCTTTACTTTACTGTGTAACACGTTTAAACGCTACAACTTAACCTCGCGACCTATAAGTATGCCATAACTTTTTATCATTCGTGGTAGTTCAGACCGCCAGTGCACCGAACTCGCACACAGTAGGTGTGGTTATGAACCTTGCACACTGCTCTGCCCTGTTTCGCAAGGCGCATAACACCCAGCCTTTAGTTCTCCCGCTATCATTTGCCCTTTGTTATGAGAAATTTTGTATCACGCGACCCATTGAGTATCGTCAAAAGCGGGTAATTTTTAGCTGCAAAGATTAATAGTCACTGCTAGCTTTTCATTATTTTTCAAGACTTTTATTTTGTTCAGATTCTCATAAGCAAGAATTACTGGAACGCCTTGGCGCCCTAGCACAAGTCAGCGATGGGGGACGCGGCCATCCACAGGGAGTGAAGGGAGGTGAACAGATCGTCGGAGAGCGACACCTGGAATTTAAAATAAAAAGTAAAAAGCCTCTTAAGCAAGTTACTTTAGAGTATTCAAGCTTTATAAGGAGTTGGATTCACTGGTCTTAAGATGTCTTCCCGAAAGTATTTCAGTTGCTCTTGGACATACTGGCGTATCTCATAGAGGGTTCTATAATTACATGAAGAATAAGCTACAGCCGACAAAGGAGCGTAAAACTTCTGAACTCCAGCAAACACGAAAATACTTTACCTCTCGCGACCAGACTCACTGGTTACTTGGCCGTCCTTCCAAACACAGACGTGCAGAGGAGTGACCTGGACACAAACAGTAAGCAGGGCATGTGCTTTCCAGTCGCACGGAAGCAACCAGAGCAGGGGAAACGAAAGCACGTTTATTTTCAATAAATGGGTGCCGGCAAAGCACACGATGACCAGCCTTGGGTTCATCTTCTGAGCTACGAAAAAGTAGCAGTCAAGACAGCCGTAAAAAGTGAAGCTTTCAAGGTTAGCAGGTACACGTGCACCATCAGGTCTAACAGCGGCACTCTTTCCTTCCCAAACAAGCGATAGCATTTTTTTCTGCCAGGGATAGTGACCTGAAGGTATTAGGAATTACGAAAAACGAAGGCGAGTGCACGGCTGGACCACCTTTTCTATTTCTTGGCTTAATTTGATTCGCGGGGAACCTTCAATCTCGACCATTTTGTACACGCACCCTTTAAAGCGAATAGCAGTCGGGCGCTTTTTTTTCCCGAAGTTTTCATCGCAATAAAACGCTACCCAAAGCCGGTTGAGATTGGCACGTGACAAGGTTGGTCCCTATGCCGAAGCAATCAATAGCGTGGCCTTGAAGCTCCAAGGCTGATGAAAAGCGAGCAGTAGAGTAGCGGCAATTAAGCAGTCAGTGTAAGACACCAACAGGATAACGTGGTTTCATTCAGATCGTTGCTAGCGACAATCTTTAGATTCTCAAACTTGAAGTCATCTAGAATTATACCGACCTGAGTCGCGTGGAACGAGTAAACAGCTTGTTTTTGGGTAAGCCAAAATAAGTAACGAGAGATAACCTTCTCGTCGAGCTCCTTGAATTTCGTTCTTGCGAATTTTGATAAATAGGCCAGATCTCCACTGTCAAGACGTACTCCAACAGGCCTCAAGCCACACTAGTAATCAGATGAAAGGCCGTGCCCAAAAGAATTTTCTTGCTACCTTCCTAAGTTTACCTGGACCAAGGACAGCGAGACTACCAGGAAGTTAGGAATGCCAGATTCCTCTGTGGAATAAGTGTCCACAAGACACAAGAAGGTTTGCGGGAAGCAAAGGGCATAACTTATGAAGGCCGCGAGTTCCCCCTGAGCGTGAGGGACATTTAGCAGGTGGAAATACCGGCAACAAACCCTTTCCGCTTACATCGTTAGTATACTCACAGCTGAGAGCTTGTCTATTCCTCATACAGACCTCCCGGAAAGGAACAGAGCTGTTCCCCAGAGGCTCGCTTGCAAAAAAAATTATGTTGGAGTCATACTTTAGAAAACGTAGACCTACTCTGCGTGCTGTTCCAAGTCGCTCAATCCACTAAACGACGTAATAAAGGCATGAGCGTGAGTACCATAAATAGGAATTCCTATTAAGTAAAGGTGAATTAAAAAATTTTATTCCATGCATAACTTAAGCATACGGTTTACCGCTGGTCAAACTCGCAAGGACATTGCTGGTGCCATCGAACCCTCCCATAAAAGAGTAGACGGATGCCGACATAGCTCCGTCCGGGCCCTATAAAGCACCACAAGTAGACAAATGTGGATGCGTTTAGGTTTGGTAAACAATGAAAATAATGAAGCTCCTTAGTCTATAAGAAAACAAGCGTCGTTAAGGAGGTACCTGCGCCCGTCGTAAGCCAAATTCCAGCAACTGCTTATTAGGCCCACAAAGAAGTCGATACCGCGCTGCGTTGGTACAGACAAGCGACGGGAAGTTAACCTTAGACAGTAAAACGGTAAACTAAAATCTCACGAGCAGCCGTGAACAAATATAGAATCAAATATCCTTTGACATCGTTAATTGATAAAAAAGGTTAAAAAAAAGCTGGTGTATCTAAAACGCTAATAGTTAACATCAGACCCGTAGCGCGCAGCAGTAACCCTAAATATTAAATAGCTAAAAGCCCAAATAACTTATACGTTCGCTATAGGCAGTTAAAGGAAATTATATCTGAGTTCTAGCGGTACATTTACATAAAGAAACCAGGTTAAGTAAGACGGTTTCCAATAACTGACAAGCAGCCAACGGCCCTTCTACACGAAGCAGCGGCTCTCGTGGGAAAACTACAGTGCCTAAAAAGAGCAATAAAAAGGTAACTCACACAAAAAGTTGCAAGCACTATTCAAAAAACTTTTTGAGTTACTTTTTCATACTTAAAGTAACACACAAAAAGTTCATAGTGGAAAAAGGGTCAAATGTGGCTTATTATAGTTAATTAGATATTTATCAACTGAATTTTTATATAATGCCTTATATTATTAGAATTTTTTATAACATTCTTAATTTCAATACTAGGGAAAAACATTATCCAGCAACATATTACAAAGGGTTAGTCACCGGTGATTAAAGAATTAATTTGCAAGCTGAGACTAAGGCTAAAAATTCATAAAAAGATAACAGAGTGAGGTTAAATAAGTTGTAGAAATAGTTATTTTAAGAACTCAACTAAAATATTTCCCAGTTTAATTTAAGCGTACAATATTTGAATTTATTTTGGTTATATAAAAATAGAGCTTCTACGCATGGCTTTGCCAAATTTAATATCGACTTTTTTTGTGTATAGAAATATAGTCTCTCACGTGAATTACAGAACACCCAGTGTTTTAGCTCTTGAAAGTACTAATACTATCCCTACCACCCTGTTAAAAACTGAACACATTCTCTCGAAACATTATACTAGTTTTACCTTCTATAGGGGCATAAACAATAACGTCTTTTAATTTCAATTCTTCCTTAAACCAAATAAAAAATTCGGGATCTGCATTAGGCAATATTTGCTTTAAAAAGTTTATGTGCTCAACGGTGACTTTAAAGGTTTCCATAAATTTTAAAATTTGACTTAAACCAGCAAAGATAGTGAACTCGCCTATAGTTTTATAAAAAATGAACATATGGTTAAAGGTCTTATTTATTATAAAACTAAATGATAAGATGAAAAAGGGGGAATAAGTACAAACCGAGATTTTATAGATTACAATGCGAATACCTCGAAAAGGATTTTTTCGAAAAAACAAGTCAAAAGCAGAAATATTATTTTGTCTTCCACTTTTCCTTATAAGAAAAAATATATTATAATCATAATATGTGTAATTCACTCGACATTAAGTTAGCGGTTGAAATGTCACCAGTAGGCATAGACCATTGATACTTCGTATAAATCCGTTAGCAAGGGGCACACGAAATTATTATGAAATTCCATGCTTTATTAAAATTATTGAACTTATTACTGTATTAACACTGAATTATAACTCATTTAAATATATGTAATTTACTAATTATAAATAATTAATAAAGTTGAAGAGATACCTAAACCCGAGTGGTAAAGACCAGCTGTAGCTAATAACGAACGGTATATAACCATACACCCAGTGACGCCTAAATAAAATGTTCGGATCCGCATTATTATTGATTAAAAATTTCAGCCATTCATGCTTTTAAGATAAACTTGTAGACTAAGTAAAAATTAAAGCAACATTAAATTATAAATTTTGAAAATGTTATAAATTCCAAGACTGTTCAAATGACAAAGCTACGAATAGTCCATGTAAAAATGAATATAATCAAATTATATCAGTTTCATTAACCACAAACAATTTTGTATTATTTGCGTTAATAAATTTTTAGTTTAACAATTTTCACCAAAAAATAATTCACGCATTTGAAAGAACACCAAAACAGAAAGACCCTTAACCTGACCGCCAATTAGAACTTGTTCTTGGGCACATTTCAAGTGACTCACCCCTCAACTTTATGCCGAGGCAAATATTAGATCAACTAACAGTTGTGTACTACGCCAATTCTATAAAAAAAAAGTGTATTGTTGCAGGCAGTTCATTTATTTCCGAGAGCAGAAAGTTTGGAGATCTGAATACTTAGCTATTGATTACTTGAACTTCTAGGTCTTCACAGAGATACAACATTAAACACTGTAGTGTTAGCTATGTGCAATTTAGTTAAATAAACTCTAAATAGGTTACGGATAAAAGTATATTTAGTAAAAGCTACATACAAAAGTTGCGTGTACATAGCATATAAGAGTTGATTCGACTAATTATAAACAGTCTATTTACAAATTTCACATATAATTCTATTAACTTCCTCTTGTTTTGAAACCTTGCTTCTTTACTTAATATTTACCAATATATATTTCTAGTTTTTTAAAACCTTTTTTTGTAGGTGTTGTCTAACTTCATAGAATCTACATATCAGGTTTACCACATGGTTAACTAGAAATATATGTAAGCGCTTACCATAGATAGGTAGCGTTGTATAATGAAAGATGTGTACACCACTGTAACGCACCAAAAGGTAACGTCGCTTCTATGAAGATAATTGGATGCCATATCTAAAAATAAATTTAATAAATAAATAAACGTGTTCAACTTTGTTTATGATACAACTAAAAAAGAAAAGAACAAGTATATAAGAACAAACATGACAAACAGACCAGACAAGACATAAACAGGAAAAGTAGATCGACTAGAACAATAAAATATATCGTCCGAGAACTGTTTATAATATAACCACCTTACAGTACGGACCTAAAATGTAAATGTTTGAGGGTAGCTATATACTATCAATATTAATAAAACATGCGTAAAGAGCTCCTCCCTTGAAGAGCTCATAAACGAAGGGGGTCGGGGTGTTGTGCCTGGGGCAGCCTCTACGGGTGATTTCTAGAGGTTTCCCACCACACTAGACCAAATGGTGAATGGTGAGCCCGAGGCATACATTTCTCGCTTTTTCAGTTCATCGGGATAGTCATGGTAGCTCTATGAAGTGTGCATATGGTGGACACTCTAGCCCACATACCCGAAGAAGAGAAAAATTTAGATTAAGCAGTTTGAGGTCTCAAATATGAAGGCCGGTCGTAGTATGCTAGTGTCTAAGAAGCACATGCATGGTTCCTCCTTTTTAGGTTTTTATAGCATCTTTATTGTTATAGCTTTATGAGGGTCTAGAGGACCGGCGATATTATAAAGGTAATAGTTTTGTTTAAAGGGTGTTCTAGTCGAAGTTAATAAGTAGCTTAGTAGTCTAGAAGGCAACTAAGTAAATTCTTAGTTAGCTAATTAAACTAGATATTTTAAAAAGGATATAAAAAATTTATTTAAGCAAGAACAATTAACTCAGAATAATACCCCGTAGCATGAAAGGGGTACTTAGACCATAAGGAAAGTAAACACAACTTAGATTTTTCCTTGCGCGTATAGGATAGTGATGTATATACTTGTAGAAACGCCTAACAAAAGCGGCTAAGTTGCCCATGTGCACTAATTAAAGGTTTAAAGGGAACGTACACCTTAAGAAGGATGAAGCCAGATTTTACACCAGCAGCCTAACTTGGGCTAAGTGCCATCCCAGTAATAAAAGTATTGACGCGTTCAATCAACGTTGCAAGTCCATACCTGCTGGCTCAGCTTTCATTTTCTGACTTGGTGCTTATGTTAATGCTTTCCTAAAAACATTCTGGTACTTGGTCAGATTCAAGCGTGGGGAAAAAGGAAATATACTTTAACTTTAGAAAAATAATAGCTTCTATAACTTTATTAGCTAGTGACAATGTATACTAACTTTTGTTAAGGAAAGAGGGAATTACTACATAAGTAACTAAACAAAGAAGATATAAATAGCTATAATTCAGCTTAAAAACACCCTTAAGAAAATTGGGCTGAACAATGAGTTGTGCGACATCAAACATAGTGGATCTTCTGTAGGAAAAAGAAACGCTCTAAAATATTTTTGTACATTCTTTAAAACATAAAAGGGGTATGTAGGATTAGGCCTATAGTGGTGAAAAGAAGGCTGTGCTAGAGGCCTCAGCGAATTATAAAAATATCTTATGATTTTCTTGTGATAGAATTGAAATGACATAGTCTAAAAAAATAATGTTACGATGAGATACAAGTTTAAGAAGCGTTGTAAAGTAAAATCCTACTGAAAGATAACATATTACCTGCTTGTAACAAATTTAAAGTCAAAGACAAGAATAAGATTATGATTAAATGAGGTAATGTGAACATTTTTAGGTGGTGCTAATGTGGGAGGTTAAAATTAGAGAACGGAGAGTGCAGAACCTAACGTTATTGAAGCAGCATTAAAAAAGATTTGTCATAAATTTGAGAACTTAATGATAATGTGCGAAGTATTGCGAGTTTATAATGAGAGGTGTATAAGATATAGGAATAGGGCATACCATAGTCACAACTTTAAGCATTACAATAACCCGTGGGTTTAGTTGCATTAGCTAAAGTGTTAAGTAAGACCTTTCAAGTCGTAGAGGGTTACATGGAAACGTAATATGCTTAGAATGAGCGCGGGAATCTCTTGGTGAAATCTTGGGTGTGAACATGCTAATTTGCGAAAGTTAATATAGTGTTCAGTAAAAGTAAGGTCCTCTGAAAACAAACATGAAACTTGTCTTAGCAATGAGTGATGACAGATAGTATTATTGTTCGATTCCAGAGCCATTGTTAAATCAATAAGTTAGCATAAAGTGGCTAAATAACGAGCTTGACTGCTAAATCTAGGATTGAAACAGCGCCTATATCTATAGATTTGAAATATCAGGATCTATAGATGTAGGCATAGTGCTATCTATCAGTATTATATATAATGTATACCGCGACCATCCCACTTTTGAAGATTTTAATAATGCTTCGCTAAAGTATCATGTCATGTATACTAGAGTTCATAACTTTCGAGCCTTGCTATAGTTTAGTACATTCTTCATATAGCGTCAAGGTTTACTCTATCGTCTCCAGGCATAATGTCATAAAAGTGTCTGAAAAGATGGGCCAATATATTCAAATTCGCATCTACAGACGCTTTAGTCCTCGAAACCTTCCGATGGTTTCGATAGGTTAGCTGAAGGTTGAATTATCGACTTCATGGGTGTTAAATCAGGTTTACAAATCTGATTTAACCCATGAATTTTTTTGGTTATGCTACACTATAAACACATTAAAGGTCTCCTTTTTTACATCAAATAGTGGCTTTATCCCTAGTCATCGTGTTGCAAACATGCTCTTAAAAATGGTAAACAGGCGTTAGTAGCATTAGCCCTGAGGCAAGTCCTATATTAATTGATCATACAAATCTGGAGCATCAGCTCAGGCTAAATTAAATTTAATAAGCTAAAGTTGGCGAAAACTGGAGCAGGTTGTTGTCAGATTTGAACGATCTAACAAATGAAACATAAACTTAAGGTATGAGGATAAAAGAATATTTAGTAGAATATACAATGCAGATGTTTCTACCAATAATATACAAAGATCTAGCAAATACTATGCTTTTTACAATGCCAGATGTCGGAAGGGAGCCGTTTAAAGAATTTAGTACACCTTGTGTTATTAGCAACCTTTGAGATTACTAATTTTTTTATAAGTTTTCAGTTTGAATTTCAATTGATTTATAAGCCCTGCAGGCAAAAATGGACAACTACAAAACGGAGAAGTGCGATATAACAACAACCTTTTGACTCTTATTATGTTTTATGTATATATATGTATATGTATGGTCTCCTTGTGCCATAATCATACACTTTTAAGATCAAAGTTTTAATTAATTAACATTTACTATCCTTTATGCAACATACTCACTTACAGTGTTTAAGCCTCAAAGATTAATTACTGAGGAATCCTTAAAACAGGTGCAATGTTCTAAAATTTGTGGGGGGAGGTTAAATACGCGACCCTTAAAGAGAGAAAAAGAGAGTCGCGGCAGTGGGACCGAACCCACGACCTTGAGTTGGCGATTCAATGCTCTTAACCACTGAGATATGACGGCAACTCTGGACCCCATTTGATAGTTAAACCTATTTAACCTGTTATAACCTGTAATTAACCCTATCAGAATTTTTGTTTGTAGTAAACTTGTACACGTAACCACCAGACAGAAAAGTGTGAGTTGTCACCGACGGGAAATCGAACCCTCGACATTAAGATTGCGCGACAGTGTCTCACATCCTAGGTCGATAAATTACGTATCCGATTTTTGTTAAACTCTAAGGCGGGGTCTTTAGCCGATGTTGGGTGCCCCAAGACAAGGCGCGTGTTTAAAACGTAACAGTTTAAAAGCGTAAACCATCGTACCGAAATTGAGGTTTGTCGTCTTAGCTCAGCATTTAAGATCATTAACCTCGCAAACTCAAGGTAATGGGGTCGGTTCCAACGATGCGGCTCTGTTTCGTGGTCTTGAATGGTGCGTATTTAACCTCACCCTCATAACTAAAATAGCAGGTATTAAATCCCAGCGAAACACTAGATACCTACGGATAATTTAATGGTTTGCCTAATGACAAGTGGTTATTAAAAGACAACAGTTGGAAGTTGTAGAAGTTACAACATTAAAGTTAGGATGGAATGTGTTGCTTGGCTCAGGTC